AGATCAGAAAACGAAGGAAACAAAAAAACGAAACAATAGAAACTGAAATGAAAAAAAAAAAAAAAAACCAAAAAAAAAAAAAAACGAAAAAGAGAAGGAAAGAGAAAACCAGAGTTAGAGATACATGTACGTATGTTAGTACTTAGTAGTATATATTTAAATCAATAAGGTGTATATTGAGTTACTATGGATTTGCTCTTTCTGGTCCTAAAGACGAAACATATATGGAAGATGAAGATAAAGAGGTGGAAGATGAAGATAAAGAGGTCAAGAGTAGGTTTTACCTGATTAAAAGACTATGAGGGCTTCTGTTCAACCTACTCTTGTAATCTTGGTAGTAAAATTGGTGGGATCTGGCTCCTCTGTTCTCAATGTTGGTGTGGATTTAGCAGGTGAAACTCCTATTTATAGTGCCTGGCGAAGGAATTGGACATGGAGGTGGAGTCTAAAATCCCAATAGGATTAAGATAAAACTTCTGTTGTCGCTAAAAACAAGCTTCCTTCTGGTGGTGGGATTCGTATGCTACGAGAGTTTCGCATGAGATAATTTTGAGTCTAATTCGGTTATATTTTTTTTTAATGGTCATCACTCATCAGTGTTGAAGGGGTGATGGGCTTGGAACTTTTAAATGGGTTAGTATACTTTGTTTGTGCTTAACATCCAATATCGTAGAAACTTCATACCGTTGGGCTCATAGAATTGCACTACACCAATTGCATCCTCAAGTAATTCTGGGCTCAAGAAAGGAATGTCCAAGTCTATAGCTGGGCTAATGGAATTAAAATGCATTGCGTCGTTATCATTCGGGGTTAAAGTAATTTTGGGTTCGTAGTATATTCCATTACATAATTGGGCTCATTGTCAATTTAATTTCTTAATTTGGGTTTGCGAAATGTCTGGACACATATTTGGGCCCGTGGAGATAGATGCACCATGATGGATTCAAAGGACCGTTTTGTTAAGTTTCGATACTTTCTTGCACCAAGCACATCAGACGGCATGTCCCGACAAGTCTCGAGGGGGCAATTTGTAGACACAGGAAATTTGAATCCAACAAATGGACTGATAAATGGTCAGTGGACCGACGTTGAGGTTAAATGTTGGGCCAATTTAATTAATTGGATCATATAAATTAATTCAATTTAATTAGCCTTAGAATTTGATTTGGGCTATTGAATTAATTAATTAATTGGCCCAAGCCCATTTCATATTTGAATTTAAATTATAATTATAATTTAAATATAATATTAATTTTATTATATTTGAATTAGATAATTATAATTTAATTTGAATTTGAATTAAATTATACAATAATGAACCTAGACTTGATTATGGGCAAGGTTCATTTTCTAGAATAATTAATTAATTAATTAATTAATTAATTAAAGGGGGAGTTTGTTGAGGATGTTGGTTAGGCTTCTAGTATAAATAGAGCCTTCGTTTTCATTCCAAAACACACTTGAAAGCTTGAAGAACTTGAAGACTTGAGGAATTGAGAGCATTTGAAGAGCTTGAAGGCATTGAAGAACGCTTGAAGATTTGAAGGCACTTTTTGTTGATATTGTAGGCAATTTGAATCCATTGCAGGTACTTTGGAGCTTTGCATAATTGATTGTCTTGAAGATCTTGAAGTCTTTTGAAGGCATTTGATGACCTTAAGGCAGCTTGAATCCATTGCATGTGTTTTGAAACTTTGCAGGGTTGATTATTTCTAAATTCTTTGACGCTCGTTGTTGGAAGTCACGCCAATTGAATCCCGGAAGCTACGCCACTTAAATCCCGGAGGCACGCGCCACTTAAATCCCGGAGGCTACGCTATTTGAATCCCGGAGGCACTTCCATAGACAAGTGAAGAATCAGAGGACTAGACAGATTTTGTACCTGCATATTAAATTATACATACACACTGTACAAGGAATTTTGTGAAATATATACAAAGTTTACTTTTTTTGTGTTTACAATTATTTTCAACTAAATAACCAAAGTTACTTCTAATAAATTTGTATTATAGTTTGTTTATGGAAAATTCTTAAATTTACTAATATTTTTGTATTGCTCGCATGGGTAGCTCAACTGGTCATAGAGGTGAAACTTTAGAAGAATAATCAGGGATCGAGTCTCACTAGCGGCAGTGTGGGAGCAACCTCTCAAAGTGAATTACGAGCTATATATTTATACAAGATACACACACATACATGTGTAACCAATACCAGTGGCACAACCTTTTTCATGTCAAAGGATATGTGCCTTATTCAACAAGGTAAAAGGGTCAAATCGATCTTGTGAGTAAGATAGAATTTCTAGAAGGGCTGATGACTCACAAGTTTCTTTTTATTTTTTTTTTTTTTATTTTAAAGCTTCACGTAAGATAAAAGAAAAGAAAAATGCCATGTGGTCAACATCTCAACAGTTAACGGTTATGATGGTAAAAATTAAACTCAATTGAATTATTTAGCCGATTTAGGATATCTAAACTGAGTTTTTTTTTTCACTTAAGGAGATTAATTGCATTATTTGATAAACTTAGGGGTCGATTTGACCTTTTTTCCATTCAACAATAATTCAAATACCAGAAATAAAAAACACACGATATGATCTCATTATTGATCAACAACGTAACTTTAGCTACTTGTTGCCGTTGAGTGCAGCGATTGTACGGCACCTGCTCTCCTCCGACAGCAAACCGGCCAACCTGAAACCCATCAAATCCCAAATTCCATCATCAAAACATATATATAGTACTGTACTACCTAATGTTATGTTTTGTGTAGTGAAGAAATTAAAGTTGGTACCTTTTCAGATAGGGATGTCAACGGGGCGGGGTGGGAGCGGGGGACATACCCCCCATCCCCGCCCCCGACTTTTTTTCCATTCCCCGTCCCCGTCCCTATCCCCGCCGGGGAATGGAAAACTCCCCCCATCCCCATCCCCACGGGGATTATTCGGGGACGGGGAATCCCCACCCCATTAATAAGTTAAAAAAAAAATTAAAAATTAAACATTCATAAACATTTATATAAATAACGTATATATATTCATCCCCAATTTAAAATAGTATTCAATATTTTACAATTAAACATGTTATTTAAATATGCATTTCATAAGCATGACAAACAATGACAACAATGCTTCTAAAATTATATATATTGTATACAAAGTAATACATATGTGTGTGTACTCCCCATACATACATACATACATCGGGGATGGGGCGGGGCGGGGAGAGTACTCCCCATCCCCGTCCCCGTCCCCGGCGGGGAATTCAAAATTGCCCCCATCCCCATCCCCGATCCCCTATTTCTATCCCCATCCCCGTCCCCATAGGGGCGGGGAATCGGGTTCCCCGTCGGGTGCGGGTACAATTGACATCCCTATTTTCAGAGCATCTTGGTTTGTTTCAGCTTGGGGGACCCATTCTTACCTATCAACAGATTCAGTTTCATAACCGATTTCGACAAATGTGGGTGTGGTTGAGTGGGAGGGACTCATTCATCTTTAGCCAAAGGTCCATGTAGGGATGACCACGGTTCGGTTCGAACCGAACCCTGCACTGTTGAACCGGAACCGGAACCAAACCGTCCGTACGGTTCCGGTTCCGGTTTGAGATGAAAAGGAACCCGAACCGACGGTTCTGGTTCCAAACCGAAAAAATTAAATATTATAGTGTTTTTTAAATTTTTTTTTTAATAATTCCGATTAGAACCGGAACCGGAAGCTTACTATAAGGTTTCGATTCCGGTTTCGCCATCCACGGAACCGGAACCGACGGTTTCGAACCGAAACCGGAACCGTGGTCACCCCTAGGTCCATGGTTCAATCTTTGGATTTGGATATGGAACAGTTTTAAATCTCCGGACCAGCTCTTTCACCTAAAAGAAGTGCCTACAATTCAACGAGGTGGTAGAAATCGTGGGTCTACCCAAGAAAATTACCGGTTTCAATTCGACAACAAGTTATTGCCAACCTTTCCAAGTGCATATAGAGTTATGGGTTAAATCAACCGCTAAAAGGATGAATTATATATATACCGAGTTACAGGTCAAATCAAAATTTAAAAAGTTGAATATAATTCAATTACCTAGATACTAGTTATGAGTTAAATCAACCACTAAAAGGTTGAATTCAATTACAAAATCAAAGGTAAGCCCACTAATAACATCTTTCGATTCGATTGGGATGACTGGTAATAAATTTGTACTTTACTAAACAAAAATTTGAGGTTGTCTATTGGGATGACTGATAATAAATTTGTACTTTACTAAACAAAAATTGAGGTTGTCCATGATTCTCTTACTAATGCTTTCTCGGTCTAGAGCTCATCATATATAGTCTTTCTAGTGAGTTTATCACTTTTTTGAAATGACAAGAGAAATCTAAAATCACTACTCGAGAATGTATCATAGGTATTTCGTTGGTTCATAAATGTAAAAACAAAACTAATCAATAATACCGAAAACATAGAATAATTCGAGCTAGAAATCGAGAACAATCATTTTGATGCGTTTGTTCTTGAAAATATTTTATTGTCTAGACGTGAGAGAATTGAGAATTCTAATTTTTTTCAATTCAACCAATTAGAATAATGTGAGTATGAATTCCGTATTATTCACCGAAAACAAGGTAAAAACTATAGTCACTTTTGGGAATATAATGAACCCAGAAAAATGAATTAATTCAATTCAAGTTTTTTCTTTGTCCCAATTACCGATTGGAAGATTATTTAACATGTATAAATTGTTATTAATTTGATACAGATACTAACAGAGTAGTTTCTATCTTAAAGATCCATATGTATCTACCATTGAATTGAAAATTCTTTGATAGTATTACTATATAGGGATATATCTAGTACCAAATTCCTCCTTGTTCTTAGCAGGCAAAGCTCAAAGGATAAAAAGAAATAAATTAATTTAATTAGGTTTTCAATCAAGAAAACCAATAATTTACTCCCACAGACATGTAAAGGATATCAAAAAAAAAAAAAACTATCATATGCTGAAAGAACAGAGAATCTATTATGAGAAGAACAATTGATAATGATTTATTCCATTCTTCTCTGAGAATTATTATTACATTCATAGTAATATAAACTGAAATTTTCAAGTACATCCCAGTGGCACAACCTTTTTCATGTCGAAGGATATGTGCCTTATTCAACATTTCAAGTACCAAAAATTAAAGGCAAACCATATGTCTCATTATTGATCAACAACTTGACTACTTGCTGAACGGCGCTTCCTCTCCTCCGACAGCAAACCGGCCAACCTGAAATCCATCAAATCCCAAATTACATCATCAAAACATTTATATGCATCATATATAGTAATCTACTAATTAACGTTATGTTTTGTGTAGTGAAGAAATTAAAGTTGGTACCTATTAAGAGCATCTTGGTTTGTTCCAGCTTCGGGGACCGGTTCATTCTTCCCTGTCAACAGATTCAGCTTCATAACCGGTTTCAACAACAAATTATTGCCAGCCTTTTCAAGTGCACCCAAGTTTTCCTTTGTCGTAACATCAACCGAGGCTATCGGCCCTTTTAAATCGTCCTCCTGCACCATTTTTACATTAACAAATTATATATATATATACAGTCAGGTTCATGTAAGAACAGATCTTTCCGTGCGGCATATACTGATGTTTTTTTTTTTTTTTTGTGTGTGTGTGGTGCATTTTTTGGCATTTCATTCTGGTGTATTCTCGAATACTGTATGGTGCATTTATACATATCTAGTGTATGCTGCACTGACCGCCTAGGAAGACATGTTCTCAAAGGAACCAAAATCTATATATACCGACTTACAGGTTAAACCAACACTATAAAAGGTTGAATAATTGAGTTATTACCTGGATGCGGAGATAGTTATCTCCGACTTTAAGAGCCTGGAAAATGGTGGCGATATGATAATCCACCATGTCCGCACTTGCAAGGGAGAATACATCAATCAAAGGGTTGCCGTTATCTTGGAGCAGCCACTCCAAAATACTCCAATTAGACACCTGTTCCGCCGTGTAATTATTGGCATTTTTTGCACTGCCGGTGCCGACCGACAATATCAAGAACCGGTGGCACCCAATTGGCTCATTCGACGAAGTTGATGATCTCAGGAATTTTGGATCCTGAGCCACCATCCTTTGCGTCACCGTGCTAATCGCAACAAGAGTCTGTTATATATATATATATACACACATTAATTAAACTCTCAATTATTCTGTGTTTTAATTTCTTTTTATTGGAATATATATACATACCGGATTGTTTGCCGCTACACCTCCGTCAATGAGGTTGAACTCGACCTTTCCGCCGTTAGCATCGGTGGTGTCAAAGTAATGGCCGGGGAAGTACGTCGGAGCTGCGGAGGTGGCAATGCATATGTCTGACAATTTAGCGTTTTTTTCGGGGGAATCCTTAACCTGTATGTACGTGCATGTTATAATCTTTATTCATGCATGAAGTTTGGAGAAGTTAAGGATATATATACATACATCCCAGGTGATGAAAATTGTAGGTTCGGAGGTCTTTATATCAAAGGTAGGGATGATAACGTCAGTCAAAGTTTGGCTTAACCGGGTGTCTCCCAGTTTGTCCTGGAGGACTTGGTGTAGGTATTTGCCGTCGTACTTGGGGCCTATCAACAGGTTCTGCATCTCCGATGTGTTTCTGTAAGAACATCGTCCCATGCATGAATCATTAAACTCCTCGAAAAATATAATATAATATATTAACAAGGAGGCGTTTACGCTGGGAAGATCTTTGGTCCGTGCTCCTTGTAGAAAGTGACGATATCCTCGCCGGCATAGAGGGGGCGCTTGTTCTTGTCCGGCGCCGTTAACATGGTGGTCATCAGCCCTCCGGTGCTGGTTCCGGCAATCACATCGAAGTAGTCCGCTACTCTTGCATCCGGACCGTCCAAAGCCTGATCGGTCACACCAAAAAATAAAATTTATTAAACCAAGTTGGCCAGCCTATTGATTTACTAACTACAAAGTTACAAATTCTAGTCATAATGGAAGCGGCCTATTTGTTTTCTTGGTTTGAGCTGGTCAGCTGCAATAGTCCTTTGTTGATCACAAGACGGGATTTACCTAATGCAAACACTCTTGTATAGTGGCTGCGAATTTTCATTCTTGATTTTTACCTCTAAACTTTCTTTTGATAATGTGTTTTTAATTCATTGGATGCTAATGAATTGGCTAACGGGCCACCATTTTCTAATAATATATTTAACTATCAATAACATAATGACATATCAGAAGGAGAAATTTGTAAGAAAAATACAGAAGGAATTTGTATCATTGCTATTCAACTACCAACTATGAGTAGTATAGTGTCTTTGACTTTCCCTGTATGTATAGATAGATATCATACTTGAAGCTGCTTTTCAAGGTAAGCAACAATGGTGCCGGGGATGATGCCGCGGATGCCACCTCCATCAATGCTAAGGATGGTGACAACGCCGCCGGGAGGGATGGACGGAGCATTGTACTCTCCGGTGGCGGGATCGGACGGGGCTGTCTGGCTGTTTCCCATTTCAAAGGATTGGTGTGATATATAAAATAAATGTTATCAAGAGAAAATGATAAAAGATTTTTGTTGGTTTCTTTAATGTGAAGAGAAGAGCATAAGGAGAGGATTTATATAGTACTATGATAAAACAATTAATGCTTTTTTCCTCAACGAAGGACGCATGGGCTAACCGCTAACTATGTGCTAACAGCGTGCATCCTCGAGGTTTATCATATCCTTTCATATTAATTGCGTGTTGGATAATGTTATCCACGTTTTTTGGAAAAGATTTTTTATTATGAATAAGTATATAGACAAAATTGATGGGTATGTAACACTTGTGTGAGACCATCTCACGGGTCACAATCTGTGAGACGGTTGTATATTTGATTAATGGGTCAGATTTTTGACCTCATTAATCAAATAAACAACCCGTTACACGAATTGAGACCCGTGAGACGGTCTCACAAAAGTTTTTGCCAAATTGAGGTTGTTCGTGATTCTCTTAGCTTACCAAAACATTCTTTGTCCAGAGCTCATCAAATCATCTTTTTAGTGCAGTTTATATATTTTTTTTAATGATGAGAGAAATCAACAATCACTACTCGAGTGTGTGCATTATAGGTATTTTGTTGATTCATAAGAGTAAAAACAAAACTAATCAATAATATCGAAAACAAGGAATAATCTGAACTAGAGAGAACAATCATTTTGATGCGCTTGTTCTTGAAAATATTTTATTTTCTAGACGTCGAGAGAATTGAAAATTCTAATTTGTTTCAAGTCAACCAATTGGAATGATGTGAATATCAATTCCTTATTATTCAACGAAAACAGGGTAAAAAAACTAGTCAACTTTGGGAGGGAACCCTTAGATAAAAATGAATTAATTCAATTTAGAGCCATAAAAACGGGCTTAGCCCACCGGGTTAGCCTGCCCCGCCCGGTGAAAAGGGCGAGACGGGTTTATATATATATATATATATTTTTTTTTAAATTTTTGACCGCTTCGTTATAGGAGTATATGTTCATAATTTTATCACTATATGTTCATAATGTCGATGTGACACCCCATAAATCTAACCCTTAATTGAGATTAATTGAGTAATTAATCCTAATTTTCCTTTGATAATTTCCTTCTAAAAATCCTGAAATTTGATAGTCTAGGGATTAGAATTTGAATTGTTTCATTAGTCAACCATGTGTATCTTTGGCTTATGCTTTGTACCTCAACCCTTTTGTCTTCCTAACTTTAGTAAGGTTAAAGTTGACCTTTCACACATGTTTTGATGCTCAAGTTTTCCCTAGCAAGACATTTCACTCATTTCCCTTACTAGCCAAGTCATAAACACTCCACATTCTCTCTAAAGAAATCTTAGCTTTCTCTCCAAGCTAGAAGAAGAGTTCTCTATCCTTGCAAAGTTTCATCTAAAGATTCCACCTTTCTACTTCCCTAGCATAGGAAAGGGTAAGATCTAAAGTTATTTAGTGTTTTTAGTTAGTTTTAAGGTATCTTTATCTTATTTTGGTGTTTCTTTGTGGTTTGGTTGGGTGAGAAGCCCTTGGTGAGGAAGAGCTTCAAGGAGAGGCCTATGAGTGTGAAAAGGAAGTGATTTTTGATCTACAAAGGTAACCCATGCTCTACAAAACCTATTTTATACTTGCTATTGATGTTTATTGGCTTCTATTTGATGATTCTTGATGTTGTGAGTGATTTGATGCATGATCTTGTAATAAAGAATGTTTAGAGCTTGTATTTAGGGTTCTTGAATGCCTTTCTTTGAACTATTCTTGGGTTCAAGTCATATCTTTGTTGTGCGTGAGGTTTTGGGTGTTTTGGACTTGAACTTGACCTTGGAGATGAATTTTCCCGAAGGGAAAAATGTGGTGTACAGGAGGTACCCCGCAGGTGGGGCGGCGGGTAGGCCACGAGGCCTTGTGGGTTGTACCCCGTGGGCAGGTCCACGGGCAGGGCTCTACCCGTGGCTCCACCCGCGGGGAACGTATGTGATGATTGCGGGAAATTGTTTCCCCATGGTTCTTTCCTTTTGGTATTTGATGTTTTGACCTCCCGTTGTTGGATTATTGAGCTTTTGTGAGTCTTCTTGATGTTTCGTATGTCTAGAACGATGTGTTAGGAATCCAGGATTTGGTGTCTTGAATCGTGCTTGAAGTCCAACCTTGTGATTCGTTGGGCTAATATGAGTCTTGAAGGTTCGATGGAACCATTTTGGTTTATCCGTTTGATGAGCATGCTAGTTTGATGTTGTTATGCTAGTATGTATGGTTTGTTCCTTCTTGTTGAGGGTTGGCAACTCGTGTTGCCAATCATATTGGTATTGGATTGTGGTCCATTGTTGTTGAGTATTGCTTCATGTCTTTATTGAAATCTCTTGGTTAACTCTTATGGTGTGATCTTGTACAAATCATTGTACCCTTTGTTGATACTTGATTGGGCTATTGATGAGCCTCAATCCTCTTGATAATGACTATGTGTGACTATGAATGAGATTGGTGGTTTTGTTACTTGAGCTTTGCTCACGAGATCGGTGGTATGTTACTATGAATTTAATGGTACCCTCGTGTACTGAGAGATCGGTGGTATATCCATGAGATTGGTGGGGTACGACGGTCCCAGGCGGAATAAGGTTGGACTCGAAAGTACAGGATGGCACTAGGAGGTAATAGTTGGAACTAATTATAAGGTCGGAGGTAGCCATAAGGTTGGAACAGGGCATAAGGGTGGAACTTGGAACGTGAAACTTGTCATTACGTGATTGTTGTATCTCCTACTTATGAGCATGTCTATCATGAACGCTACCTTGTGAATGGTAGGTTGCATCTAGAGTTGTGGTTGTCACTTATTGATTGTGGTCTCTATTGCGTTGTTGAAGTTGTTAGTCTTAATCTTTATTGAGAGCGTGATATGTTGATTGTTGTTCCATCTCTTGGTTTTCAAATGCTATATACTGTACTCCTCACTTTCCAATGGTTTTGACTATATCGATGTATATATATTGATACTTAACGCGTATTGGCGGGTTACCAGCTTTATTCGCTGACCGGGTGTTATCCCTTGTCTTTACAGGTTTTAATTAGATCGAAGAGCGCGCTAGACGTTGACCATATATAGTGTAGCTCTTCCCGCTTCCCTTTGTTTAAACTTATTCTGTTTTGTTGGCTTGTGAGCCTTAAATTGTTGAACATGATTTTAGTTGTAGCCTGTGCACCTATCTTTTGGTATAGGTGTGGCATAGAACTACCCGAATTATGTTTAGCTTCCGCATTATGTTATGCTTAATGATAGACTGTTTCCTATGAATTAAGTTTTAAAATGTTGGTAAATTCAGGGGTGTTAGTCAGAGCTCTGTGTTCATAATTCCATAACAGCACATTCATACTTCCATAACTGTATATTCATAATTCCGTAACTGTAATAATTTTAGAGCTCTATGTTCACAATTTTAGAGCTCTATGTTCATAATTGTAAGTTCATAATGTCAGAGCTCTGTGTTCATAATTTCATAATTCCATAACTGTACATTCATAATTCCGTAACTGTATATTCAAAATTAAATTATTATTTTTTAATTGAAATGTCGCGTTTTCCTTAAGAACGACGTCGTTTTGAACTCGTGTCCACAACATAATTTGCGCTCGTCTAACCTACGGGCTTTGGCGGGGCGGGCTGGCGGGGCCCGCCTAATTATATATAGATATATAATTAGTGTACAGTTAACTATAATTAGTGTATTTTTTTAAAAAAAAAAACTATAATTAGTGTATTAGTATTTTTTTAGTCTTTAGTTTTGGTTTACAGTATGTTTACATATATAAATTAGTGTATTAGTTTACTGTAATTAGTGAATTCATATACATAATTAGTGTATTAATTTACTGTAATTAGTGAATTAGTATATATAATTAGTGAATTAGTATTATTTTAATATTTAGTTTTTGTTTACAGTTTGCATATATAAATTAGTGTATTAGTTAAATGTAATAAGTGTATTAATATTACTTATTATACATTAATTACAATTTTATTTTAATTTTTATTTAAATTTAAAACATTTAAAATTTGGCAGGCCCCCGCCAAGGCCCGCGGGCTTAAGGTGGGGCGGCATCCATTAGGCCCGTAACCACATACATATGTAACCAATCCCAGTGGCACAACCTTTTTCATGTCAAAGGATATGTGCCTTATTCAACAATAAGTTAAGTACCATAAATTAAAAACACACCATATGATCTCATTATTGATCAACAACTTGGCTACTTGCTGTCATTAAGTGCCGCGATTGTACGGCGCCTACGGTGCCTCCTCTCGTCCGACAGCAAACCGGCCAACCTGAAACCCATCAAATCCCACACTTACATTACATTTGTATTTATAATTTCTCTGAACTAACATGTACAAAATGCAGTTCTTTTTCCCCGTCATTGCAAGTGATCACATATATGTCATATGCATTGATTGGGATGTTTATCATACATGCATACACATAATTGACAACTTTTCTGCTGATGGTGCTAGTATTGCCAAATATGGCGATATACCATTTCTTTTGGTGAGTACTAAATCACACATTTTAAATCATTTTATTAAGTGTAGTTTTTTTTTTTTTTTTTTTTTTTTTTTTTTTTTTTTTGTTTTTGTTTATAATGCTTTTGTATTTATTTGCAGAAAGACTACTTTGTGAGATATTTGAACCAAAAAGATTCATACAGTGCTGCAAACAGACTTAAAAAGATTACACCCGAAAGAATTCTGATGCAATGGAATGATACCGAGAACAAAGATGATTGTGGTGTATTTACAATGTGCCACATGCAAACATACATGGGGACTGGAGTGACTGGTTTTCAAAGTGACATCAGTAAAAATAAACCATCAGATCTTGCAAACCTCAGGGTGAAATACATTACAGCAATTTTAACTGTTGAAATCAATGAACTGTCTGAAAAAAACATGGAAACGGCTGGTATTAAAGACGAAAAATAATTAATATTTTTGAATCTTAATGGTTTTATTACATTGCAGTAGTTCAGAATCTTGATATAAACTCCTCTGGTTTTGAAGCACATTAATATATATTTTCACGCACCTTCTATATTGGATAGACACATATTAAAAATCACCTTATTAGTTCATACAATTGATAATCATAATATGCGTCCACTTAGCCTTGAAAGTGCTTTTTAAAAAATTTAATGTGCCTTCATTTTCGTGCTAAATAAATAATTGAAATAAAAAAAAATTAAAAAATCAATCAAATCAAATGTGCGTCAAAATACACTTACACATGCGTATTATTTAATATATCAAGTGCCTGAAAATAAGTCGTGCATGAGTTTATTTATTAAAAAAAAAGAATCAAAATTTAAAACAATAAATATGCGTTGATATTCGGTATTAATAATTACAGTACAACTTGCGTGAGTGCATATCTTAATGTGCGTTCATTTGCATACTAAAATAACATAGAAAATAATAATTATTAAAAAAAAAAAGAATACAGATTCAAATCAATTAATGTGTGTTCATATTCACCATTACGTGCGAGTTATTAAAATACAACGTGCGTGAACTCATATCTTGATGTGCGTTCGTTTGAGTACCAATTAAGATAAGTCAATTTACTACCATATCTCTTTAATATGCGTCTCATATCTCTTTAATGTGCGTTCGTCCGTCTAACACTTAGTATGCGTGCATGTATTACACAGTGTGTTTCAAAATATAACTTAATGTGCTCCATTTTCATAACCAAATAAACTTGATTAATTTTCTGAGATGAAAAAAACCAAATGCAGATCCACGAGAATTAAATACTATATAACAAGAGAGAACGGAAAAAACTTTGAAAAACAAAAACAATGGCGACCGCAATGCCAAACGAACGAGTGTCGACAGACAACTGAACGATTCTTTGAAAAACAAAAACAACGGCGACGGCAATGCGAACGACGAGAGAGAACAGCGATGAAGGTTAATTTATTCACAATTACTAATTTGTCCCTCAGTATGCGAATACAAGTTAAAATAAGCGAACTTCAATGTTTAAGATCAACGGTGAAGATATTTTAATGCATTAAAACCAACGGCAGCCATACAACCGCACACCCGCACCTATATATATAAGAAGTGTACTTATATATGTCCGCACACCCGCACAATCGCACACCCGCACCTATATATGTCAATTCATTGGTTAACGAAATAAGAAGTGTACTTTCGGCTTTGTTACTGCATGTGTTGAAGTTGGAGTATATGTTAATATATATATATATATATATATATATATATATATATATATATATATATATAGGGAAGGGATCAGGTTCATTTGTTGCTTCCCGTGCGGATGTGCGGTGGATTAATGTGCGTGAGGTTTATACTTACTTTGCGTGAGATTTGTACTCAATGTGCCTGAGATTTGTACTTAATGTGCGTCATGTTAATATGCGTGAGTTTTGTACTTAATGTGCCTGAGTATTGTGTTTGATGTGCGTGAGATTTGTGCTTAATGTGCGTGCGTAGTTCAGAATTACGAGCTCAGAAGGAAGCGGAACAGAGACTCACGCACATTAACGCCCAATCTTCTTGTTACTTCTTCCTTCAATTTGGCCATGGATTCTGGATTATCAGCTACCTTCAGTGCAGTTGAATGTTTATATAAATGACGCACGCATAGTAAAATTTGCACAGCAGTTGAGTGTGGATTTCTGTTGTATTATTCCCATAATTTTTAACCACCATAGCTCACCTCCACATCATCATCATCAGGGAGGGGGCAAATGGCTACTGGGATGGGAAGAAGCTGACATCAATATTTTCTGCTGCATTTTACACATTCACGCACATTAAGTACAAATCTCATGCACATTAAGCACAACACTCACGCACATTGAATACAAATCACACGCACATTAATCCACCGCACATTCGCACGGGAAACATTCACCGCACGGGAACCTTTCACTATATATATATATATATATATATATATATATATATACTCCAACTTCCACACATGCAGTAACAAAGCCGAAAGTACACTTCTTATTTCGTTAACCAATGAATTGACAAAGAGCCATCAACTTTCGCCAAATAACGAATTCAACAATTCGTTAAAAACCTTCAGCCAAACCATTCACACGAATTATACTCACACGAATTGTGCACCGAAACAATTCAACGATTCGGTAACACCAACGAATCATTAAACTTTGGTTCCAAAACATATTTCCCAATTTACTTTCTACCAAACTAAAATAATATTTATAACTCCACAACCTCAAATATTATTTAAGTTTTCATGGTAGTCCATCTGAAATATTAATCTCCATTACTATATAAATTTCCAACATTCCTCCTCCATTTATATAGTAAAATTAATAATGTACCAAGATAAATTCAAAACTCATGCATAAATGAAAGTGTCTTAGAGATTGAAGTTTCACATAGTGTTATATGCGTTACATTAATTCGGATTGCAGTGATGGACGAACCTTGAATCACGCAGTCTCTTTGAAGAAACGTAGATGTAACACACACAAGTTTTACAGTCATTACAACTCACTGTAATTTGACACTATTATGGTCATGTGTCCGTATCCATTAATGAGCACATACCAAGTAAAGCCCAAACTTGTTTGAAGCGGCCACACTTCATGCTCACAGAGGCTAATCTTTTATATCATGCACTACATCTTGCAATGTTTCAAAAGATCAATTAAGAGTAAAAACTCATCCCTACTTCAATGCAGAACCAAACATCACTTTTTCTTGGGATATAATTTTTAATTTAAACTTTTGATCCTTGCAATCACAAAATGAAGTACTCATCTACATTGAACTCAAGGTCTAACGTAATAACTTAGACGTGAGTTGAACTTTCCTTCACTTGCAATTAAATAATTAGGCTTTCCATATCCCTTCCGATGTCTTTAGAACCATGTCCCTTGCAAAGACTTTTGCAAACGGGTCCGTTAAAACCGGGACTGTACCAAGTCCAGTGCTACAACACTATTACATAGGATTTCTCACATAGCTAAGTCACAAGCCTATGTGTCTTCACTTGCCATTATAACCATTGTTATATGCTTTGGCCAGTGTAGTAGCGCTGTCACAGTGTACCAAAACTGGTGACATCAGTTTTGGCCAAATCGGGATCTAAATAATTAAATTCCTTAGCCAATCAAACTTATTTGCATGCTAAAGCCAACACAAGAAATTCAGATGCCGTAGTTGAAAAGGCAACTTTGCTTTTAGAAACAAATAAAACAACACCTCCTCCAAGCAGAAATATCCATCTACTAATTGAGGAACAAGTTTCATGATTAGACATTCAACTGGCATTAGAATATCTTTCCAGGATGGAAATTTCTATTAAATATACTAAACCATAATTAATGGTTTTATTCAAGTATATCAAAATTCCTTTTAATCATATCCACTTACCCAACTGAACATGATGATGGATAGAATTTTAATATTCTATTAATGAACTGGTGAAATAAAATATTCGATTGATTATACCGGAATCCACTTTATAGGTTCCTAGTCAATAAATATTTATATCTTGAAAATTCTACAATCAAGAATTTCAATCATCATGTTGAACTTATTAGCAGTGATGACTCCTTAAAATAAAAATTCAATCTCCTCCATTTTAGACATCATAAATTTTGGAGAATAAACCTCTTCCATTCAGAGAACATCAACATTGGAGAATAAACCATTTTGATTTTAAGCTTTTAACTTTTCATGTTTCTTCTAAACTGAAGAAGCATGCCAACTTAAATCATAATCAATGATTTAAATTTAAACTTTCTTTTCATTGACAGTTTCCATACTAGATAAACCAGTAAACTTTTTTTGGCTTTCAATATTTTAACACATTCTCAAAATGAGAAACTTTGTGTTAAAGACATTCATAAATTTTATGAATTTCATCGTGCATACCTCATGCATAAAACTTTCAGCATCATATCCCTTCATCATAAATATACCAGTATATTTTCAAGGCTTTCTGCTTTTATCAGAAAATTTACAGAATATTTCCAAAGGCTTTCTCCCTTAACCAGAAATATATATAACATAATATTTCAAAGGATTTCACAAGGATAAAAATGATCTGTGTGCTTAAATAATCAATAATTCCATGCATGACATTGAAATTATTTCCAACTTACAATCATTGAATATTGTAACCATGCATAAGAAAACAACAAATTGATAACACCA